CCTCAGCCTCCTGAGTAGCTGGGATTACAGCTACTCAGGAGGCTGAGGCAGGAGAATTGCCTGAACCCAGGAGGCGGAGGTTGCGGTGAGCCGAGATCGCGCCATTGCACTCCATCCTGGGTAACAAGAGCGAAACTCCGTCTCAAAAAAAAAAAAAAAAAAGAAGTGATTAGTCACTGAGAAGGTTACTTTTGATAAAGACCTCAAAGGAAGAGAGAGAAAAAGCAGTGTGAATGTTGAGAGAGTGAGTGTTCTAGTCTCAAGAAATAGCAAGTACAAAGCCCCTGCAGCAGGAATGTGCCTGGCATGGCCTCAGGAGGCCAGTGTGGCTTGATCAGAGCCCAGGCAGAGAAAAGACAGTATGCGAAATTAGACAGGGGTCATGTGGTTTTGATTTTCTTTTCCTTTTTTCTTGATTTTTCTGTTAAGAATGTTGGCATTTTTCCTTTATTGGCAGTTTCTAGTTCCAAGATCTAATTCTTACGGTCGTCTTGAGGGGTACAAGAATTTTATTTATGACTTCCCCAGAGTCATAAATAAAGGGTGTGCCTTAGGCCATTCCCATGAATAGATAATTTGGACTTTCCCTTCAGTTTTTTTGGAGTGTCTTTATGATTTTCTGCAGATGACAAAAAAGAATAAAAAGAATATAGGAAGGTACTGGTAAGCTGCCATGCCATGTTTCAACTGAAAAGCTCTTTCTGCTCACAAAAGCGCAGACCTAACCATTACTCAGTAGACTGTTACAGTCGTGATTTTGCATATGACCTTAATTTATAGATGACAACGCTTGAATGGATTATAGGGACTCTGGAATCAAAGATACAAGGAGGCAGTCTTCTCCTTGTCAGAACCCAGATTAATCATTAGCTTCTTAAGGCAGGGAAGGAGTTTTGAAAAGTCCTTTTATTTTCTACTTAAAGTAATATTAAGCAAAATGAGGTATTACCTATGCTGTTCCTCCCCTTCTTTACTGATGAGGTTTTTCCACTTGAACTCATTCAAAGGCCTAAGAAGAACTGATTTTTTTCTTCTTTTTTAATGATGAGTGGAGAAAAAAGCATTTATCCATGAGCAAACTCTGTAGAAATGACTTGGATTCTGAAGTACGTATCTCCTTTTATTATGCCCAGGATGTTTGACAATAATTACATTCAGTCACATATTTTTCTTTCTCATTAGAGGCTCTTTTCACTAACAGATACATAAGAAAGCAGAAAGCATATAAAAATTCATTTGACAAAGTACAGGGTAAAGCTTGGAGAACACTTAATGCTTTTGTTTTCCAATTTTTCTTATAAAAATTATGTACATTATCTAGAGAAATAGAATGGCTGAAATTAGACAGTTTTTCAGTTTTGTATATTCACCAATGAAAAAAATATTATTGCTTGGCAAATGGCTAGAATGGCAGACCGGCAGACCAGCAGACCATACGGCCTCTTGGTCCGCTGGTGCAGATTTCCAAAGGGCCACAACTCAAACTAGGTTATATAAAAATGGGAATTTTTGTCCTATGTAACTGGGATATGTCTCGGGGAGATGTTCAGGCATGGTTGGATGTAGGGCTTTAGTGTTGTTCTTCCTTATTTTCTATTTCTCTCTTTCTAGCTTTTGTTTCTTTTTTTCTCTACTTTGTTTTCAGATAAGCTGATTCCCATTTGCTGTACTTCATACACTGTATATCCTGTACTTATAATGAAGAAGGTGCAGGTTTTCTTTCTTTTTTTTTTTTTTTCTGATAGTCCTTAGAAAATTCTCCACAAACACTTGGTTGGGGATAGGAGGATACTTCACTGTAGCCAAGCCTGGGTTATATATCTAGCCTGTAGAAACAGGTTAGCCCCATCCAAATTACTCTGCAGGGCACAATTATTTTATAGAGTGGTTCCTCAAAAGCAGACTCTGAGAGAAAATTATTTCCATTACAGCCAGAATATTTGGTTCAGTTCCTAGTTCTGATGCCTTTACTTATGCGATCTTAGACAAGGCTCTGGACCTCCATTAGTTTTCTCATTTGCAAAATAGAGATAGTAATAGCAAATGAAGGACTTTTGTGAAGTCATCTTCATTCAGCAGACATTTGTTGCATGCCTAGTCATTGTCACATGTTGTATTGAGTAGAGACTTTGAGGAAAGACAGACGGGCTAATAGACTAAGTTTAGTAGAAGAGGAAAACAAAAGAAAGAACTGAATGATAGATGTGCCCCAATGGTGCTATAGAAACATTAGGAAGGAAGGAAGCACTCCACCCAGACTGGGCACCAAAAAAGCCTTCCAGGAGGAATGAACTTTAAGGTTAACTAGGTTTTAGCCAGGTGAGGAGGGCAAGGAAAAGTAATATAGATTTTGGGAACAAAGGCTAGGAATCCTGAGAAGTTGAGTTCATTCATGGACTTACAAGCAATTTAGTAAGTCTGGAATGAGAAGACTGAAGTCTAGGCAGGGCCCCGATTTGAATGTCCTGGAGTGCCCATGCCACAAGGTTTGGATTTTTTCCTGAAGGTGATTGGGAGCCATTGAAGGATTTGAAGCTGAGGGATAAAATAGTTGGATATATGTTTTAGAAATACTGTTTTGGCAGTATGTGGAAAGTAGATTGGACAGGTTGAAACTTCAAGGGAGAAAGAATTATGAAGATGTTGTAATTCAGGCATAATGTGATGCAGGTCTGGAATAGTGAAGATGTAGAGGAGGGGACAGTGTCCATAGATATTTAGAAGGTAGACTTGATTGCACTTGGGATATTAAGGATAACTTCAGATATTTGGATGGCAAATAATACTTCACCACAAGAGTAGCTGGAGCAGGTTTTTGGAAAGATGAAGAGTTTAATTTGCACTGTGTTGCATTTAAATTGCCTATGAAGTATTTGGTAGTCATTTTATCACTCTTTATAGCCACAATGAAGGGTAGCAAAGATTATCTTTGATTTTGAAGACTTGTTGGAAGTATACATGGCAAGAGGTAGTAGAGCATCTAGAGCTTTCAGAATAGGTTTGTATAATTTATCTTAAGAAAATGGCATTGTTTAGGATTCATCCCAAGTTTGACCCATCAGCTCTCTGTTCATCGAAGATGTATCCTTCCTTCCCCAAAGGGTTTGTTTATGTTTATTTGTTAGGACTCAGTTTGAAACAATTTTATGGCCTCATTAGATGTGTTTAGTATATTTTGTGTCAAGGTTACCTTTTGCTAATATATCCAATTCTTGGTCCAATCTCTTATAGCTAGGTTGGTCAAGTTGTTTTCTTTTAACATGTGTTGAGTTATAGCAAGTTAAACAAGAAGAAAATAATTTGGACTGTTTTGCCTAAAAGTTACTTGTTTCTATGGCCAGAGTTAGACACTTACTGAAGGCTTCTTGGTTTTCTCCTTGTACCCCTGTGGAATAAATTTGTGAGACATTATTTTACAGATAATGATGGCTATCAGTGGAAATTTGATAGGGCGAAAGAAGTTTTTTGAAGCATCCAAATTAACTTTATTTCATTATGTTATCAGTAAAATTAATAATAGCCAAGATTCTGACTTAGGAAAAAAGCTTGTATATTGTATTTCAGTTTGTTATGTAGGCTGATGAATTGTTGCTAAGTATAGTGATGTTGGTGTGCTATTTATGCTGCGGTTGTTCACACTTTGAATACAAGATTATTCACTCATTTGTAATGCCCTCTTAAAAAGCATATTGGAAAGTAGAACAACTGATGTTGAATATTCAGTTGGCCCATTGTATCCCTGGGATCTGTATCCATGGGTTCAGCATTCATGGATCCAGCCAATTGTGGATTGAAAATATTCAGGAAGGCTGGGTTTGGTGGCTCATGCCTGTAATCCAAGCACTTTGGGAGGCCAAGGCTGGTGGATCATCTGAGGTCAAGGGTTTGAGACCAGCCTGGCCAACATGGTGAAACCCTGTTTCTACTAAAAAGAAAACAAAATTACTCGCGCAGAGTGGTGGACACCTGTAATCTCAGCTACTTGGGAGGCTTAGGCAGGAGAATCGATTGAACCCTGGAGGCTGAAGGTTGCAGTGAGCCGAGATCATGCCATTGCACTCCAGCCTGGGCGACAGAGTGAGACTCCGTCTCAAAAAA